ATCAATCAACACGTTTAATTAATAACTTCCATATAAATAAGTTATAAGCAATTGAACTACCTAAAATTTATTTTCTTTTCATACAAATTGCATCATCCTAATGAAATGCACCCTTAACGAAATATACTAATGAACGATAATAGTAACTTGCAACAAATCTCGAACTATGAATGGATTCAAACTATAAGGATTTGTTACTAGGTAATTTATTTTTTATGCATATGCATCTTAAACTCAAAAACTATAGTAATTTTTCGTTGAACAATCTTTTTGTAAACCCAAAGTTATTCAAATGTCGAGCTAATATTTCTACATCGATACTTTCATCCCGTGTGTCTTGTCCTTGGTCTAAGCTTTATTTTAACTTTAACATGTCATAATTTATTCAATTCAAGATAAAGTCATTTTACACTTTCCATGAACATGATTATCAACATGTTAGTTCACAAGATTTATTTAGCGCATCTGTGATATAGATTTTTAAGCATGAATTTGGTAAAAAGTGATATTTTTTAAGGATGTTGTTAAAAAATAAAAAAAAAAGTTATAGATTCATCTACAAAATTATTTTACTGAAAGAACGTGTTATTGAAATTGAGTTTTACGGAATCTGTACCGAACATGGACTCAAGTCTCAAATAACGATACCAAAACACTCCTATTACTTGACAATTAAACCATTCCCTTTTAATAGGAAGGTAAGAAGTAAAACCTAACATAAACTATGCCCTTGTTTGACCACTATTTTTTCCAAATTTCAATGTGTGGAATTGTGTGTGTTCTTTTTTTTTTAAATATATGGTTGAAAAAGAATGAAAAATTTTCGATTTACGTATAATATTATTTTTATGAAAAATTAAGTGGTTGAAAATAAGAGAGAAAAAAATGAAAGAAAATGAGGGCCAAATGGGGACATATAACTTACGAGGTGAATAACAAATGGCTTTTAAGCAGAGAATGTTAAGAAAAATTGATATTCGAAATTGTCGCATGACAGAATAAAATGGAGCTAGTTGTGTTTGTGAGCTAGGAAATGAGATAACAAGATCGTATAACAATAGTAGACTACCTAAGAAGGAAATATGGTGCGAGAACAAGAAGCTTCACATGATACTTAAGATCGCATGGAAAATTTATAAAAATGTTAACAGAAGAATGAGGATGTTTTTGAAAAGGCACAAGTTATTTAAACAAGAAGTCAACACTATAATTTTGGCCGTTGGGAGAGCATGTGAAATGTTGTACAGCTAACTAACGCTTTGTTTGTCTATTATTATACCTCATTATTTTTTCTACAATACTCATTTTTAAGCACACATTTTTTATTAAAATAATATTACATGTAAATCAAAATCTTTTCCTAATTTTTTAACCAAACATTTCAACGCCAATCACTATTCCATAATACATTCTTCAAAAAAATGAGGTACAAACACGTCTAAATGAAAAAGGAAATTATAGATGTACGTACACTAGCCCTTGTTTGAGGCTCATTATTTTCATTAAAATATATTTTTCTACAGTGATTTGATCTCATTTTAATCACACATTCTTCATTAAAATAATATTATATGAAAATTCAAAACTTTTCTTTATTTTTTAACCACACATTTTTTATCAATACACTATTAATGCATTTATTTATTTTTTTTGGTCAAGAATGGGACTCAAACAAGGGTTATAGAGTGTACTAAAAAACGAAAAGTAAGAGTTTTATTTCGTAAGAATGAAATTCGAGAAGATGGAGACACTAGTGGAAATATTACTAATTTGTCTCAATTGTTGATATGAAATGAAAAGATGGTGCTGATAAAATCGAGTGAACAAATTGTTTGTCAAAGTAAAATTCAGTCGTTCAAAGCACAAGTAGATCGATCATCAACAATTGCTACCAAGTATGAAGGTACAATGGTGAACGCAGAGATTTTGAATTAGGGGGTACAATCAAACTTTGAAAAAAGTTGTGAAGAATTTTACATTCGAAAACTTACATAAAAAAAAATCATACTACTTGTAAATTTTTATCCGAAAATTTACATGTGGTATGACTTTTTTGGATGTAAAATTTCGAAAATTTTCAATGTCATACCCTATGTAATAATAAAATGATGTAAATTATATTTAGAAAATTGTCAAGCAAAAAATCAATGTTAATGAAATAATTGAAAAATTTTAAAGAAAAGAAGAGTCAGGCGTTTCTTTTTAAGTCTCACATTTGATGTACCTTTAACTATTTATGATAGCTATTTGAACCATTCGATATGTTTATGATATTGTTCTCGAAACAAGTTTTGAGATGATATAGGCGATTTGTGGATTCGGTTAGCATACGATTATCGAATAATTTTTAAAATTAATATGTTATCAAAATTTTTGAAATACTAATTTGAAACGGCCTACTTTTGACAAGCCGTAATATTTGCTACGATTGACTATTCGCGCTCCATTAACAACGTAGAAAATTAAGCCGTGAACAATTTGAAATAGTATCAAGAATGCAAATTTCAACTTTATTTGACATTCCGTAATGACTCTGAAAATTGAGACAAAAATCAATATATATTTATTTCAGTAAAGCTGGTCTGCCAGGTTTTAAATCCAGGTGTTGTGTGTCAGCACTTGGATGGTTGTTGCTGTTGACATTTTTCCTGTGTGTCCAACAATTTTTTGACAAGTGTATTCTGACTTCAAATCCTGTATTTAAGCCCTGTCATTGTAAAATTGTACTATTTATTTAAAGGAATTTGTCCAAAAGTCAGACCCCTTAGGCCATCCCCTAGACGGCTATATCCATCCCAGCGAAGCAGCGAAGGTATATTAATGTTAAATTTGACATTTGAATCAATTTAAAAACTGAACATTTGACCCGAACTAAAGGGTGCATATAATACATTCGCAACGTCAGCACTCTATTTTCTTTTAAATCTAGCGCCCGTTTGGACTCTATTAAAGTGATATTTTGAGGAAAAATATGTTTCAAAATAGTGATTTTTTCGAAAATAGGTGATTAAAAAATAATGCTGTCTACCACCAATTTTGGTGGCTGCACTTTGTAAGTTCAATAAAATGAGTAACGTGACTTTGTATTTAAATAAATCTATCATTTAAGACATACAATTGTCACATAAACTTGTGCTTAATAACAATAGTGATGAATAACATCACAGGGTTAAAAAATAAGGAATAATTTTGTATTTATGTGTAACATTATTTTATGTAAGAATATGCAGTTAAAAACGAGTTCTAAAAATGCATTTTTTGAAATATAGAGTCCAAACGTGGGCTAATTTGAGTGTGTATATGCTGTCAAGAAATGATAGGTTAAAAAATGAATTTTCATTTATCACTAAAATCTTACCGTTGTGCAAAAAGAGAGAGATGATATTTCTTCCTTTTTGACTTTTGTTTGTTTTGTGCCACATATAGAGTGAGAAGCTTGGATCTTTCACCGATTAATTGAAAGCTAATGATCCCCTTGCAATATTAGATTAAAGTCATGGGTTGATTTTGGAAAATATATATAACGCGTACCAATCGTTTAATGTTGACCATAAATGGCTCCAAATCAATAAAAATCAATTTTATGATTATGTTGTAACTGAAGGAGAAGGATGGATGAAAAAAGGGGGTCATTAATATTCGACTTTAAAATAAATAAAAAATAAAGGAGACGACAGTCATTTTATTTGACAACTTATTATTTAAGGCAACATAATTACGGGAATTTAATGTTTCAAATAGCAAATTACAACGTAGCATGACTATCATAGTAGCTATAAGCCCCCCGTTTGGTCCCCATTTTTCAAATGAGAATGGGTGAAATAGTCTCTATTTTTTGAAAATGAGTGATTGAAAAATAATGATTTTTTTTTATTTACGTGTAATATTGTTTTATAAAAGATTGTGTGATTGAAAATAGGATAAAAAATGAAATTTAATTAATGGGAGCCAAACGGGGGCTAAATAGGATTACTCGCAATAGAATTACAGTAAATTAATGCTTAAAACAATAAGATGCCACACAGGACTACAGCTGTAGTCGCTGATAATGATAACATTACTCGTTTTAAATTATTAAGATTATGACACATAAGATACAATGTTGACTATTGAGTTGCAAACTATGAACGATATTATTGTTCTAAAATTTATTCGACAATTATATTTTTCTAAATGCATGGTGTTTGGAGGTGAGAATTTAAGATACTCGTATACGCGTTTTAACTTCTACGATATTAATGAAGGCTAAAGAAAATTAAAGCTCAATTATTCGTAAGTATTTCGGCCAAATTGAAATTAGAAATTAGAAATTAGACAAGCAATTAAAATTTAGCGCGTAATGTGCAAGTGGGACATAGATTTAGATTCAGCCGAACTCTTTGGGCGGGTTTTACAACCACACCAGGTCAAGGCGTACAGCTCAACGGTACTCATACGAGGCAATTAAAATAAAATAATTTGTAAATTTAATCTGCGCTCACTTAACTTTCTGAAATTTTTTAGTTGAATCACAGAATTTTAATTTACATCGATTAGATCATGAAATTCAATTTAATTTCAATTTTCACAACTCTATCACATGTCGTAACAAAAATTACTTAGTTAGTAGTCATACCTTAATAAATCTTTCCTGTAATCGTTGAATACCATGTCGACTCACCTTTGAGCCACAACATAATAGCACTAAAATAGAAAGAAACATGCATTTTGACCTTTCAAATAGAGGACATTATCATAATCTTCATTTTACTCTCTCGTTTTTAAGGTACTCCATTAGAGTGAGTTGGAAGATTCGTTATGATAGGATTTCCAACTAAGCAATTCAATTAGTTTGGAAACATCACTTGACGTAATTAATGACTCAATTGAGATGAATTATAGTTTAATGACCCAGATCAGACTCCATAGAAACTTCAATGACCACAGGTGATATTTACCATATTTTACACAAAATATTAAAACCGGTTTCATCTATATAAAGTCTCAACCCGTCAGTGCCGACCTCTCCAACGTTGTGCTCCCATTTCAAGGAGATCTCTCTCTCGCTCACTCTCGCACGCGCACACAGAGATACACAAAAACATTCATTGCCCAAAACAAGACATAAATTGAATAGATACATCTATATATTTCTCCATTGAGTATTTTTCTCCAACACATACGCAGAGACATATAATCAGTCTTCTCTGAAGTTTGTCTTTGTGAACCAATTTTTATCAGTAAAGAAGAAACCCATTTTCAGGCGGATTCGTTGCCATTTATAGAAAGAGAGTGATTGTTGAAGATTTCTCACCAAAAAAAATAAGAAAAAATGGGAGAAAGGAGGCGGCTTTTGAGTTGCCTAATTTTTCTGGTTTTGAATATTGTATGCGAAGGCAAAGGGGTACACAGAAATGCCTATGCTACTATGATGTATATGGGTACTCCAAGGGACTATGAATTCTATATAGCGACACGTGTCATGCTCAGATCTCTCGTAAAGCTTAAGGTTGATGCTGATCTTGTTGTCATTGCCTCCATGGATGTACCCATCCACTGGGTACAAGCCCTGTAAGTATTTATATTTATACCTCTTGTAAAATCGAGATCTGCTTTCGTTACGCTACAAATTCAATAGTAAAAGATATTCAGACGAAAAAGGTGAAAAATTGAATTTTTCTGTGTGTGATTTTGTGTTGGGTTGGTGATGACAGAGAAAGAAGCACTTCATTTTTGTGTTTATCTTCAACTTTCCACTTGCTAGAATATGCTTTGGCTTTTTTGGGTCTTTATCAAAATGGAAAAGAAAAGAAAAGAAATCGATGAAATTCGATTGACCAATGGATGAATGCAATGCAATTTGGTTAGGGGGCCCCACTTTGTGCAGATATTTGCCAACTTTCTTTTTAATTTTGAGTTAATTAGAAAGATTAAATTTTGTCCAGTTTTAAGTGAGTATTTTAGAAATATATGGTAATCGAACAGAAAAATAGTTATACAAAGACTGTGTCGTGAGAAGTGGGAAGTCTTCCACCAACTCATTCCTGAGTTGTTCCAGTCAAAAAAATTATTGCCCTTCGGCAAATTGGCTGGTTTATACCAAACTGGACCTTTTCTAACATGTAAACACAGCTTTTTATTATTGGAGAAATTTTAAAAAATATAATCTCCATTAATTCTCTTATATTACCATATTTGACACGAATAGGCTGGCCTTCGCTAGAACTCATAAATAGAATTCTTATTTTATTTTTTCTTTCCATTTAATAATTGACGGTGGGGGATATTTATGGAGGATAATTTTAAGATTCTTACAAAAGTCGTTTTGGACAGGTGATGTGTTGTCACTAATAAATCAATAAACAGGGCATCGTTACATACATACCACATAATTAATTATGGCCGGCATTTAAGCTGTCGCTTTGTCAACTCTTATTTTTTATTGCAAATTGTGGCTCTCTTTTTTCTTCTTGAACAATTCCAGTAAAAAACTTAAGACTCATGAAAAATGCTCTTATAAGAGAAAGGTCGGTGTTAGGATTAATAAGTTAGCCCTTTTTTATTTATTTATTTTGTAGCCCCAGGTTTAGACGAGATAGTTTATTTCCTGTTTGAGTCCTATTCTCTAAAAATTCATTTCTTTCTAAATTTATTTTTAACCACATATTCTCCCGTTAAACTAAGTTTACAGGTAAAGCAAATTTTTTTTACTTTTTAACTACATGTTCTCTTAAAAAATAATAATAATAATAATAAGTATTATAAAACTCATTTTTTCCAAGAAAAAAAAAATGGGTTTCAAACAAAGTCTTAATATTGTCTTAGAACAGAAAGATGTCTTTTGAGTTCGAGTTATTTTAGTCACGCATTTGAGGAATCTCATGAATCCAGCCTACGTGTGGAGTTTTAAGATACATTATTTTTACAAATAAGTTTATAGTCCTTCTTGAACTTCTTGAGTTTTTTGATGAGGTTGCTGTACGGCTGGGTGAAGGGTTAAAGGGATATTCTTTCTTTGCTGAGGTATAAATTATCGTTATTCTTGAAAAGGACTTGTTGAAGTTGCTTTATCTATGAGCTAAAAGAATAATAAAAGAAAAAAAAAAAAAAGGGTCCTGTATCACTACTTGGTGTATGATTATTGATTAAAGATATCAAATTCTTCCTGTTGGCATGACATGGTCTAGATATCCATAGTACAAAGAAACAAACAGCTAGTTATTTAAGAATTCATTTTCATAGAAAATCAATTTGGATGAGAACGGATTATGTTTTTAAATTTAGTTTTCAACATGTTCCTTAACGTGCAGGCTGGATTCATTATTCAACATGACATGTGTACAATATTCATAAATGGATGGTAGCGACTTTAGACTTAGTAATTTCCTACTTTCTTACTATGTTGATCCACCAAGTCTGAAAGCTTCTATTTTATTAGTAGATAATGTGTGTCAGCATCTGTGTCTATACATCAAGCTTTAGAATTCTGAAATCAATAGGAGAAAATGAATTAATGAGTTATCTTTTTCGTGGTCCAGTGAACAGGAAGATGGTGCAAAGGTCATGAGAGTCGAAAATATGAACAATCCTTACAGAAGTCAGTCGAACTTCGATTGGAGATTCAAGCTAACACTGAACAAACTTTATGCATGGAACCTAGTGGACTATGACAGGGTGGTCATGCTAGACGCCGATAACCTCTTCCTCAGAAACACTGATGAGTTGTTCCAGTGTGGCCAGTTTTGTGCAGTATTTATCAATCCCTGCATCTTCCACACTGGCCTCTTTGTGTTGCAGGTAAAAATTACTGACATATATGTGTTTCCTTCAATGTTTTCTTGTTTTTTGGAGCACGACTGTTAATTTCAAGCACACAAACTGCTGCACCACCTATCATTGTTTTTGTTTTTTAGTCAAACCCAGATGCTACGTTTAATGATCGAGATGAAAGGTTATTACAAGTCCATTAAGGCTGTCTCTTGCATCTATTACATGTGTTCTTCAAGATCCTTATGAATCTTAAATTGCAGCCATCAAAAGCAGTATTCAATGACATGATTCATGAACTGGAGGTCGGGAGAAGTAACCCTGATGGCGCGGACCAAGGGTTCATTGGAAGCTACTTTCCTGATTTACTCGATCGACCCATGTTTCATCCTCCTTCAAATGGTACAAAGCTTGATGGATCATATAGACTTCCTCTAGGCTATCAAATGGATGCTTCTTACTATTGTAAGTATTAACAACTCGGATGTTTCAGCAAAATTTAAAACCCAATGTTCTTATTTCTCACCATATTACATTTTTATTTGGCTTAGATCTCAGACTTCGATGGAGTGTTCCTTGTGGACCAAACAGTGTTATTACTTTCCCTGGTGCCCCTTGGTTAAAACCATGGTATTGGTGGTCATGGCCCGTCCTCCCACTCGGCATCCAGTGGCATGAACAACGGCTTCAAACTCTTGGGTAAAGTTCTTGAGCCAAATTTGTTCGAGTTCTTAAGTCGACCTTATTTTCATCTCATTTCGTGATTTTAATGTTTCATTATTTTTTTGTTACTCTTCATACCTATTTCTTAAGTGTTCTAAGGAATCTATGACTTGCCTTTTAACAGGTATAGTGCAGAGCTGCCACTTGTATTAATCGAAGCTGTATTTTACCTAGGAATAATGGCTGTGGCGCGTCTAGCACGGCCCAACTTATCCAAATTATGCTATCGCCGAGAAGAGAAAAGTATTTTCTTCATACAAACTGGCTTCAAATTGATTGCTATATGGTCCATTCTTGCTGCCTACATAGCCCCATTCTTTCTCGTTCCCCACACTGTTCATCCACTCATAGGGTGGGGTCTCTACTTGCTGGGGGCCTTATCGATTTCGTGCATAGCGGTTAATGCTTTTCTTCTACCAATTCTACCTGTTTTGACGCCATGGCTCGGAATCTTTGGAGCCCTTTTGGTAATGGCTTGTCCTTGGTACTCAAATGGCGTTGTACGGGCACTTGCTACTTTTGCCTATGCGTTCTGCTGTTCGCCTGTTCTGTGGATGGCATTGGTTAAAATTATGTCATGCCTTCAGGTTTCGCTTGAAAGGGAATCATTCTTGCCTAGATTGGGGGAAAACTCGTCGCCTTCGGGGTTCAACAAGTTGTACTGAGAATCAGCCTCTACTCATTGTGGAGCATCTTGTGGTTGGCATATTCCCGGCTTTAGATACGAGGAGACTGTAACCATTTTGTGCCAGCCTTCTGCTTCTTGAATCTGCGGTATGCATTTGTACACAGAAGCACAAGGGATACATTAACTGTGTTCTGTCATCATCTACTAAATGCAGAATTTATAGAGTAGCTATTGATTGCTTGATTCTCATCATTGAAATTCTTATAGAACTCGACTCATTAATGCACTAAAGTTACTGTAACTTCAGAAACCATCCCTTGAGAATTGTCTATTGGTTGATTGGATTTTTAACTTTTTACTGAAATTACTAAAACAAAGATTCTAAATTGTATTTGACAATTTTATTGAAAAAAATAAAGTTCATGAGGACACCAGAATTTAAGTACTGATTTATATTGAAAACCAATGTTCTTAGTTATATCAACTTGTGACCATATGGATATGCATTACCGGCTTGGATCATGCTACACATATAAACTTTTTTCACAAAATCCTTTACTCACTACTCGCAATAGGAGGTGGGGGCCACGAGCCAACATTTTTTAAATTCACGTGGGGGTCACTTGTTTGTGAAAGTAACCCATTTTGCACATATATATTTATCTTTACCGGTTATATTAGACTTCTGAGAAATAGAAACAATATAAGTGACAAATCATTCGAAAGGTGATCAAATATTCTAGAGCATTAAACACAATAATTACTCATAATTAATAAACGAGAAAAACATAAAGAGTCGGAACAAGTTTTATATTGTTGCCTAGGTAGTTGAAACATAGGCAATCATATTTGAGAATACAAACATAACATAAAGAAGAAAATGATGGATAACGGCCGGATTTTATAGTGTCATTTTAGTCTCCAGCAATTATCTTCTTTTTCTTCAAAAACATACGTGCTAAATTGAGTGTATTATTTGGCAAGAAGACAGCATCTTAACGACTATGTACCAATATGCAGAGCCGATCCTGTGGTTAGGCAAATGAGGCCTGTGCCATTTTTAATTTTGATTTGACAAATATGTTCCATTTTCGATCATTTCGACTAATGTAATCTATATTCCCATACACATTGATGGAATCGACTAGGAGTGATTGGACTCATTCCCACCCAACACCATCAGCAAATCAACATCAAATTCCAACTAAAACATAAAAAAGTGCAGGAAATTAAATTCAAAATAATTTCCAAATATAGGATCTTTGGAGTAAAAAAATTGAAGTAGGAAAAATAAGTGACAGAAGAAAATTTCTTATTGATAAACTAATAACAAAAGAGTAGACTCATCAGCTATTTATCACCAACTACAATATCAACAAACTGAATCAAAATTCCAAAAGAAACGCAGCTAATTAACCCACTAGAGTCATACTTTATTGGCATAACAAAGAAATGATTTCTAGCAGACTCCCTTAAACTCTCAGAACTACACATCTCAATCATATTCTTCAACTTGCAGAAAGTTTTAGCTTTCAATGGCTTTGTAAGAATGCTAGCCTATTGATCTTCATACTTAAAGAATTATTGAATTCAACAGCTGCTTCATTTTCTTTCACAAGCTCATGAATATAATAAAATTTGATGCCGATGTGTTTACTTCTCCCATGAAAGAATGGATCATTAGTTAAGCAAATAGCTAACTTGTTATTGCAAAATATCTTTGTAGGAATTGTTTGTTTCTGATTTAATTCCTTCAACAATCTTCACAGCAAAACAGCCTGAGTAGAGACGACTACAATGTACTCTGCTTTGACGATGGAAAAAGCAACAACCTGTTGCTTCTTTGATGAAAATGAAATTGCTCTTGAACCCATGTGAAATGCAGAGCCAGACATACTCTTCCTTTTTTCAAGATCCCCTGCCCAATCACTACCTGTATACCCAACAACGTTGTAGTTATCAAGAGATGAATAAAAGATACTGTTTCAGTTGTGATGCCAATTAAGAATTATAACTCAAACAATGAGCTATGATAAAATCGGGTTCGGGCCCAATTATTTTAGATGCTACACTCCATTGCCCGATAACACACTTGGTGAGCCCAAGAACCCGAGCCCAAACCTGAAGACCACATGTTTTGCTCCAGGATCGTTAGATCCCTCATATTACATTTATGGTTGGAAGGTTTTTTAGTATATTAAATGGCACCCCTTTTAGGTGGCCTTTGACTGAGCTTTTCATTTACCCCGTTCCTAGAACTCTCTGGAAAGCCTAGTCTTTCTGGATACTTTTCTCCTTCGTCTCCTCCGAGTTCTCTTTGGTTATCTCATGTGATTTGGGGCTATATTCTATGTGAATGAGGTGAATCTGAGCGATTCCTCTTGAGAAGTGAGAGCGATCTAGGGTTTTCTATTTAGTCCTATTGAAGCAACTGCGTTCGGTCCTTTCATGGTGGGATTCTTGGGGTTTTCTCTTGGGTGTTTTACCAGTGTACAGAAGGGTACAATGAGTATTCTGAGCCCATGAGTCAATGACATCTTGTGTCAAATGTTTGATTCGAGTCTGTAATATACAGTGATATTTTTCGATAATACTTTGTGTATTCGTGGGGTTCTTGACATAATAGATACCTTGAATTTGAGTACCTTTTATATCGCTGTATTCGCTTTAGCTTGGTGTCTCCATAAACCGACTAATAATGCCAACTCCAAATTTGATATTAGGTCTGGTAAAAGGCAAATAACATAGACTAGCTACTAGACTTCAGAAATAAGTTGGATCAACAAATTCACCATGCTATTTTTATCCACGTGAAATCTTTCTTTAATAGGAGTTTAGATAAGATTGCACGATTCCATCTTGAATCGTTTGAGAATGTTTGATGCATATTTCTTTTGTGAGATAAATATTCCTCCATTAATCTGCGTCACTTCTAATCTAAGGAAATAAGGCATAAGTCCCATATCAGTCATTTCAAAGTTGCTAGTCATAGCCTCCTTAAATTTTGTAACCATTCTTGTATAATTTCTTGTAAAAATCAAATCATCCACATACAAGCAATAATTATTATATTTCCATGTGAATGAGATTTGATATTAGAAAGATTCGATATACAATGTAGGTTGGTAAGGGCACTTAAGAATACCATTTTCTTGGAAATATGTGTCAATTTGAGTGTATCGTCCTTGGCGCCTATTTTAATCCATAGAGAGCATTGTTTTTAATCTGAGAACTTTTCTTTCGTGAACTTTCTGTACATAACCGTTGGGCTGATCGACATAGACCTCTTCTTCGAGAAATTTATTTAGAAAATGCAGATTCTATATCCATTTAATGTATCTTCCATATATTTTGAGCGGCTAGTGCAATCAACATATGAATGGTATCAAGTCAAGCTACAAGTGCAAAAGCTTCATAATAGTCAATACCTACCTTTTGCTTGTACCCTTTCACAACAATCCAACCTTCAACCGATCGAATTGAGTCACTTGATCATCTGGTTTGAGCTTTTTTTGTAAACCCATTTCAGCCAATTGATTTCTATCCTTGTGGCAAAGAAGTTAGCTCCCATATATTATTTTTTTAGTTGAAAAAATTTCTTCATTTATGATGAGGAGGATAATTTTCAAGAGAATGATTTGAAGTCCTTGCAGAGTGGAACAATGCAATGGTCTTTCCACAATATTGCTTGTCGGATCAATCACAATTGGGAAGACATGTATTCCCCCCCCCCCCCCCCCCCCCCCCCCCCCCNNNNTCCCCCCCCCCCCCCCTCCCAATCACCTATCAACCCCAGATAATTACACCATGATACTACCTAGAGTGACAGATTATCATAAATATAATTAAGTTAGCGATACCCCATATATATAATACACGGGTTCATACTCAAACGTGCTTGGAAAAAATTAAAGATGGAGTTCCTTTAGGGTGGGTTGAGGATTACATGTAAATTTATAAAGTCTTTCATGTAGTTATAATGATGTAAGAAAAGTGTTTCAATTGATGGATTGTTATAATCTCGTCTTTTATTTTATAAAATATCTATAAAAACAAACATTGTTAAAATAAAACTGCATGTGTATGACATCAATTAAATTAGTAAGGTGAACTTGAAGAGTCCAAATTATC